ATGAGACTATTTCCGAATTTTAATTTGCCATGAACAATACAACGTGTGCCACAGGTGGAACATGATCTTCTTCCATTTCCGGAGCACCTGAGATCATCCCGATTTATTTTCGGGTTTGTGTTGCACAGTCTTAAGTTTTTATGTAGTGTTTTGTATACTATTGTTTGTATTTTTATCGTATTTCTTGTATGTTCTTGAACATATGAGGAATTTCAAGCCAAGAAAAACACGTTACTCTGTTGGAACGGTATAATGGAAAACACAAACTCTCATGCACCAACAAAATAATAAATAATACCGTTGTATTGAATTTGATGAAAGTAATCAGCTAATGCCGTACTATAACCTACTCTAAAGGAACTGCTTTCAAAATGTGGCGTATCTGCACACTCACGAACAACACAGTATGGTGCTATGAATGAAGCACTTCTGTCTTCTGTTGATCCTCGGAGTTTCATAATTGTGCCGTATTTGCTTGGTTTCTTGGTATTGTTCAAGTTTCCTCTTTAGAGTTTTGTAAACCATTGTTTACCCTTTCAACAACTTATAGTTTATTGATAGATGAAATCAATTTTAGAGCTTTATTCTTGATGCAATGACCAATGTCCATATACTAGTATTCTGGCAAATTTTTGAAATAAAAACATATCATACGGAACAATTTTTGATTACTAGTATATCTCTTATTTCTCGACACGGAACGTTTGCGCTTTTGATAGGATATTTGCGTTTTTTTTAAATGGACATCTGTGCTTTTTGAAATTGACACTGCACTTTTTTATAAAAAAGACATTTGCGCTTTTTTAACAGGAAAAAATCTCTACGGAAAGTTTGTCACTGTTTGAAAATTTAATTATTATAAGAACCCTACAAATTAAAACAGACCAAAATTCATCTTTCATTTCGTATTTGAATGTTTCAAAATCAATCAAAGGTTAATATATGCACATGTACACGTGCACTTGCATAAATTCGATTTTTACCCGACGCAGCTCATATTTTATTTGAAAACATCAGGTAACTCTAATAAGTTTAATTGTGAAATAAAAATAATTTATATATGTAGGACTCTAAAGTGCAATGGTACTCTGAAGTGCGATGGACACGGTAAAGTGCGATGTTATGACACGCTAAAATACGATGGTATATAACACGCTAAAGTGCGTTGGTTGAACACTTTAAACTGCGATGGTGTAACGTGAATGGGGTTGAGGCAATGGTTTTTGTTTTTTGCTGTGTTCATATTAATTTTTTGTCTATTGTATTGTTTATAAATCATGCCGTTGTCTTTCTCTTTTGAATTATTTTACACTAGTCATTTCGTGGTCCTATATAGCTTGCCATGCGACGTAAGCCAAGGATCCACGTTGGAGGTAATAATGTTATTGGTGCATACATTAACGACATTTGGTCTTTGGTGGATAGTTGTTTTATCGACAATTACCCGTTACACTGCATCTTCTTATTTTGTTTCTTTGTTTATTGTTTTGTATATACATCATTCATTTATTTTTCTCGTTTTGATACCCTTTGGTCTTTATAGAATACTATCTGCGGGGTTACCCATACGGTAACCTATAGTTTATTACATTAATGACATTTAGCCTTGGATAGAGACTTGTCTCATTGGCAATCATAATATGATACTACACCTCTGGTCGTTGTGTTACTTGTTAACGAGTATCCTCCTTTTTACAGACATGACGAAACATATTGTAAAAAATCTTTATAAAATAATTGAATTTGAAAGGTTAAAAGTAGCTTTTATTTCACGCAAGTAAATGACATGGGATTAAAAACATAGAAGGAGTTTCTAAATTAAATTTGGACGAATTAAATTCTTTGACATTTGGTGGATTTTGCCGTTTTCGCTCTATTTTACGGTATACACCTTCCCCTTACTATCGTCAGTTTCTATGTTTGTGAGAAGTATTTTTTTCAGTATCCTGACAGAAACATGTTTGTCCTCGCCGACACAGCGGGATCAAAGGTTTGCATTCCTGTTACTGTGGATGATTTTTTGGGAAATAGCTCCTCCACATACAAACTCTTCTAGCTATATATCACCGACCAAAAAAAAAGTTCCGGATTGGGATCATTTGTTTTCCCTTTTTTTCAAAATCCTTCATTTGTACATACATTCTCGTTTACCGGCATATTTTTGTTTGTACAAACGGCTTGTAGCGTCATAATGCTATTTAACGTTGTAAACGCACTTTCGCGGAAAAACGCACTTTAGCGTATCGCGGCATCGGACTTTAGCGTGTTCCATTAAAAAGCACAAACCATCGCACTTTAGTTTTTCAAACCATCGCACTTTAGCGTCGGCCATCAGCACTTTGGAGTCCTACATATATAACCATGGCATTTTAAGAATCTTGATATCACTATTTGCAATAAAAGAGATTGATATTGAGTATTCACAAGATTGCTTCTTTGTATTAGAGATACATATTTATGACACTTTAAATCCGACAGTAAAAAAGTCCGAATTACTAAATATTTCGCCTTATAAAAGCCATAAATCTTTCTTCAAATTCAACACGAACAGCAGGTGGTTTAAATATTTTAGTTTCATTTTCTACAAATTTAAGCAATCTGAGATAAACTATGGCGGGAGAGGTCCTCGGACTTTCAAGACAATAGAATGAACACAATGGCTTATCTTAAAAAAAATGTTAGAATATCATCTCTTGACTATAGTAAATCTGGTTAAGATTAACGGTAAACTTTCAAATCAAAAGCGCAAATATCCGGTCAATTTGCTGAATGTGTTTCAAAGTTAAAGGCGCAAACGTACATATCGTTTGAGAGCATGTGTCCTTCTGTGTAACAGATACAAAAGTGCAAACGTCCTGCGCTTTTATTTCTACCTAAGTAAAGGTATTTTGCCTATGAAAACGAGATGTTAATAAATCTGCGATTTTTTAAGTTTTTTTTCTATTTTTGACTACCTCAAAATTCAGCAATGCCAAAAAATATATCGGAACTCTTACTTCAAGGCAGGTTAGTTTGTGAAAATACTTTACCTTATATAAATTACTAGGAAAACTTTAAAATACTTTCCAGAAAACTGTGTTTTTGGGAATGCAGATTAATTAAAATATTGGTTTATTACATATGTTTCATATGCCAGAGATTTCCTATTCATAGAATTAATCGCAAAGGAAACAGGTTTTGTTACTGGGTCATTGCAATTAGTTAGTGAATCTATTCCTTTATGAACCTTTTGTACATCACCGAATATAAAATTTGGAATGGAAACAGTAAGTTTTGGAAAAAGGAGAGACAATATCGTTTTCTATAAAACATTTAAAGTATTGAAAAAAAAAAGAAAACCAATTGTCAAAGATAAATATTTATCTTACCTCCCATACATTTCTAGGAATATAATTGGTTAAAAAGCAACCGTACGGAGACCGTGTATATTTCATATGGGGTTAGTAGGCGGGGGCTTATTTCAATAAAGACTACACGGTTTTGAGGAGAAATCTGAATCAACAGACGAAGAAATTGATGAAGAACGATTAAAATGAATTCCTAAAACACATTTAAAGCTTACAAGTTGTTATTGTTGGCATTTGTTTTTGTATAGACCAATAGAAATAGGTTCATATTACTAAGTATTTAAGACTTACTCACTTTGATAGGCCACTAGTCTAAATACCACATGTTAAGATAGTCGGTAAGATAAATTCGTTACACAGTGTGCTAGTGACCTAATACGACAAATATGGGGTCAGTACATTCCATATGGGGATTCTAGCTTCGCTCTCGCCCCATATGTATCGTATTAGGTTACTAGCACACTATGGAACTAATAATGTAGCTATGAATAAATCATTAAAGACGATTTACTGGGCAAGCAATGATTTGAAACTGGGTGTAAATTTTCAAAATGATTGTTTTTCTGTAAGTCATTGTACGAATATGTTGAAAAATAAAATTACCAACAGATGTAAAAATATTAAAAACAAAACATTTTGGTCGTTTTTCGTTTCTTGTCATCGCGTTATCAGTTTGTTTTCGACTTATGATTTTGAATATCCCTTTTGTATCTCATGCTTATCATTTATACCTTCCTAGAGCCAATGCGTTTACCCCTTAGTTTTTTGTGGGTTACTTGATTTTACCTTTGAAATTAGCTTTTCATTGACAAATAGACGCATGCAATTCATGAAGTGTTGTTTTCATTCTTTTACAGCGATGGGTCAATACGGCTGCTGGTGAACTATCAGTCCCCGAAAATATCATCAACTCATCAGTTAGTATATCGGTACTGATATGATTTATAACAAACCTTTCTTTAATTGTCCGTTTATGAATTTATATATTATTAAGATTTCTATTCTCTTAGGCAAGGTTGACCTTAGACGGATTGGGCTATTATTTTCATGTCGTGTTTGGTCATATAGCTCTTCAACTGTTTCGGTTCTTCTACATTCTTTGCTTTCAAATATTCTGATTTTGGCATTCCTCATAAAGGTAAACCCAGAAAAGCGCTTCTGACGCATAACATTTATAAAGTGTGTTTTTCATTTTTTATAAGACAGTATTGCATCCGCTGATGTCTATAAAGACTGAGCTGCAACTCTCCTTTTACCTCCAGCAGATTGCATCTTGACTGCATAAGCAAAGGCAATGTTAATGCAATTTAATGATGCTTCCCCAAAATTAAAAAAAAAAGAAAAAAAAAGAAAAATGTTATGTTTTCACTCAAACATAGCCTGGTGATATTGTGAATTCTATACGTTATCAAGAGTAGTATTAATCGTGGACAGGAAATCATTTTTCTCCGGATATCTAATTATATTGGTATTCATGCAAACACTGCTAGATCTATAGATCAGGAGGTGAAAAATATCCTGCTTGCTCCTGTTTCTGAATTTGATCTACGATATACATGTACTGATTTTAGACGTTAAATAAGATAATATATTGAAAATTTCAATACATTCCTAAAATAAATATGTGCAAATTAATAACACAAAATAAAACCAGAAATTTAGAAAACTTTATAAATGATTTGAATAAAAAATAAGCATGAACAGATAAGTGCCATATGTGAAGGTGCATAACTGGACACTCAAGAATATCATGTGCATAGATATAAAAAATTCCGCAACCGGGATGTTTATGTTATAATTACAAGCAAACAGTTATACATATGTTATTTGGATGTAAAGATTTCTAGCGATAATCCCAAAAAATATTTTAACTTTTAAAGAACGCATTTGTTTATAAATTTGTGGTCATCCAAAATAGACCAATGTCTTTACAGTACACAGTCCAAAAGAATTGCCAAACAAAAACTGTTATTTTCATAAACAAATTTTAAAAATAATGTTCACAATAGGAAAGTGACCGTCGTGTTTTTTTGTCACGTTTATAATTTTAAGTTTATTTTGACAAGACAGTAAACACTTATTTCTCTAAAAGAGTTGACAGATAATATATAATTTGCAAACCATCCAGCAATACTAGATTATACTCATAAACCGAACAATGTATGATTTTATCCAGGTGTTGACCAATACAATTTATATGACCATGATGACAACACTTTACATATATATACAATTGATATGTACAGTAATCAAATTAGGAACGGCTCTAAAGTAAATTTTTCCAAAAGTATTATATCGAATTACTACTGAAGTCTTTAGATCAAAGCAGATTAGTTCAAAGAAAATGCTGAAAATACAACGTCGATATTACATAGGCCTTTTAATATCCGAAATTCCTTCGATGAGTAATTTGTTTCTTTTCCAGATCAATGTGATAATCAATTCTGATGTCTTGGCATTACACATTTTTGCTATACGCCTTTTTCAGAAAAGGTCCAAGATTATAGTACGTCTTAAACATCAAATTACGAGGTATGAGTTATTTTAGACAGCTGTTTTTGACAGTTCCCACAAACCTTAATCACAAATCCAAAGCTTTTTTCATGTGCAATATTTAGTAATTGTGTGACAACTCATGGTCAGATTGTTTTTTTTTGTACAGACTGGTAACACTTTTTCATTCCACTAGCTATAGACAGAATAGCAAACTCAGCTAGTTCTAACAATGTCAGCAAGCTGGCTCCTAAAAATATCCCCATCATTCCTCCAAAAATACCTGAAAAATCGTTACAAATATTTTGACACAATATAAATAGTGGTATTAGTCGTCTAGAATTTTTCTTAAATATTAGTCAGTATATCGTAAAATCACAAAATATCTATAAACTTTACAGCAAAGGACATTTCAAACTTTTTGCATAGCATTTAATAGTCAATAAGAATTTTATTCATACATTTTAAAAAATATCACCGAATCACACTTATTACCAACCAAAGTATTATTGCCACTGGTAAAGAAAGAATTGCTTATCGATTGTTGACACCTGTTACCGTGTTTGTTGTGGGGTTTGTTTTATACTTCTCAATCTTGAGTTATGTAACATGTCGATTGACAGGTATTTGTAATTTTGCAAATGAAATAAAAAATAAATGAAAAAAATTAAAAATCAAAAAAAAAAAATCAGTGCGATTGATTGTTTTCATAATTAGCTAAATTCTAATCCGAAACAGGACTTAATATTTCTTTAACTTCTTCTGCTTTGTAAACATTCATTTTTTGCATTACAACATTTTGTGTTCCTGTTCTAATTATGCAATTCATGTATTGAATATTTTCCAAAATTCAGCAATCGACTAGATTCGTACTTTCAATTTCGTTTCGGCATCTTCGAGTATTCGTAATAACGATATTGTTTATTACAATTTTTCTTGAAGTAGTGCTTTTGTTATTTTTTTTCGTGTTTTCAAGTATTGTCTTATTATTTGTTATCTTTTATATACCTTTCATTACCCCACTGATCACGAAAAAACTATGAAGACGCTTTAAGGATGTTCGCTATTCTGTTTCAAAATAACACGCTTTTTAATAGACTGTTATGAATTGATAGTATATAAATAAAGAAACTAAATAAGCAGATAAAATTGAAGGGTCCGTGTGCTTGTTTTCGAGATAAAAGCCATTGAAAATTTGGCGGGAAATAGTTCTCTCTAGACTTTTCATACATTTAACATTGACGCCTTTTTTCTTTCAAAAACGATGAAAAAATAACAAGGATTTTATAATATTTTCAAAGATGACGTTTTAAACTATATGTAATCAAATTATGGAAAGAATAGTAGGGGTTAGGTGGCAAAATTGTTAATGGCACTACATGGATAAAACCAGAGGATTCCGAATATCTGGCAAAAATTCAAAAACAAAAGGAGCGAACTTCCTTAAATATATATTAATTCAATCACATGTCTTTGTGCCTGGCAAAAGAGTTTTAGTGTTCTCTTTTGTCATATTTTGAATTTTTTTTTCATCATTTGATGATATTGGTGTTGATGGCAGATAGATGCATTAATTCATGATAACTGATCTTTTTTATGCCTGAGGAGATATAGTGATTGACATATTATATGATCAACTGTCCGGTAATAGTAAGACTAAAGATGCATATTGGAAACGCAAATCTAACAGTTGTCAGTCTAATGTAGAAATCACGCGTCCCAACATAGATGAGTGATGTTTACACTTAGGAAAGGATTTCAAACAGTAATGTTATTTATAGGACAAGGAGACACCAATTATTTAAATGGCCGAAGTAACAAACAAAAAAAAATGTAAATTTGTTATTAATATCAATATAGAAATATTGCGATATTCGTATATACCATAAGTTAACTATCCAATACTAATGTCCTAATATACCAAATTGCAACAATTTAAATACTACTTATAAATATAATCCTTTTCCAAATTATTTATCGAAAGATTACGATCGATTTCAAATAACTAAATTGGCTTTATTATTCTACATGTAACATTATCACAGCATCTGAATTTAAAGAAAAAAAAAAGCTTTCTATCTTATATGACAATAATTCATTTGTATTTCGTTGAAGCTGTTAACTTTGCTATACCAAATAGCAATTTACCCTGCATGAATACCGAATTCAAATAAATGACAAAATAAAGAAGCCTTCAAATAAAAGAAATATATCTTATAATAACAAACTGTAATCGCCTATAACGGTAATCTAACTAAATATATGAACCAATCTGGTAAATGTTTGGACACAGAACAATACATTTAATACCGAAACGATAAATTTTATGATGTACCCTTCTTACAGTTTCTATTAACAATTTAACTTTGACCCACGCTTTTGATTTTTCACAAAAACATATGCTATGCCTCATATCTAGACTTACATTTAGAAATTGACAATGATGGTCGGTCGAAAACAAAACTTTACGACAAAAGAGATGATATCAGCTTCCCAATTGTGAACTTTTAATTATATGTGGCAACATTCCAGTAGGGCCGCATACGGAGTGTATATCTCCCAATTGATAAGATATGCAAGGGCTTGTATTTCCTATCATGATTACCTTGATAGAGGGTTGCTACTCACTAGGAAGCTACTAAACAAGAGTTCCAAGTGGTGAAGTTAAAATCATCCCTTCGTAAATTTTACGGACGTGATCGTGAGTTGGTTGACTGTTTTGGTGTATCCGTTTCACAGATGACAACGGATATGTTCTAGTTTCCTTTTCCCCGAATGTGACCTTCCGAATTAGACTTATCACCGGTTTGTACTAACATGAGCAACACGACGGGTGCATGATCTGCGTTCACTTCAGGAGCACCTGAGATCACCCCCACTTTTTAATGGGGTTCAGGATATTGGTCAGTCTTTGGCTTCTATGTTATGTTTTGTATACTGTTGTTTGTCTGTTTGTCTGTTGGTCTTTTTCTTTTTTAGTCATGTCCTTGTCAGTTTATTTTCGACTTATGAGTTTAAATATCCCTTTGGTATCCTTCGCGTCTTTTTTCACTTAGGTCTTGCTTTCAACATACTCCTAATCATTGAAGAAATAACGGAAAATGTATAATTTTCAAAACCGCATCAAACTCACCTACAATGTCTTCCATGTTGTATTCTGGGATCGTTTCCACAAGCAAATAACTTAAAGAATCATAATAGAGTCTTATTTCCAAAAGGTTTTTCCTAAAAAAAGAATACGTATACAATGTTTAAAAAATATAATGATTAAATGTAAAACCTCCAAATCATTATTTCCAAAGCACATCGATGGAAAACTTGATAATTCTATTTGAAAAAAAAAAATTATTTGATATATAAACGTCCTATTTACAATTGTCAGTCTAATGTAAACTATAAATAATAAAATTCTTTCAACCTTTTTAAAATTTTTTATACAAATTTCTAAACACACAAATACTGCCAACATGATTCTGAAATAAATTAAAAAATTAATGAATGTATGTATAATTATAAATCAATACATTTTGTACATAAATAGAAAAATGAAAGAAGGAAAATTAATGAAAGAAGGAAAATCAATGAAAGAAGTTTAATGATATAATGCAATACGTGCATATTACTTGACATACTTAACATCGTTGTCACTATAGCCCATAGAACGCAGTGCTGGTAAGTACACATCTGCAGGATTTTGTGTCGTTGATATTGATTGGTCAAAGGCTGTGAACTCACAGGAAATCTTGCATTTACATTGTTCCTTAAGCTCTGCGTTCACATCAAATTCAACTGAAACAGTCATGGTAAAATACTGTAATTATTTTGTTAAACATTCGCAACAAAAAGTTATTTCCCTGATGAAGAGTGTTATATTGATTAACGAGTATTCATACTCATCTCATGAACTACATTATGTACATATTACCTATACAGTTGAAATAATGTCATTTTGTACTGAGTAATGGTGGTTAATTGCTAAATTTGATAATATCATTATATAAATAAGAAGTAAAAAACGTAAAATGAATAGGGGAACAAAATAGAGTTTATATGTCAAGATGCAGCAGGCCTAACACACCAATTCATTAATAAAGCCGAATTCAGTTTGAAAAGAATGTGAATATCTATTTACAGCAATCGACGTTAGCTGATGGGTTTTGGCACCCAATTTGCTTTATATATCTTTTGAATTTCTTTCCAAATTCTTATTGACACAAACAAAATGCCAAGCCCATCAATATATTATACCTTCATTCTTGTAGTAACATGCGGCAGCCTGGATTGGTGTGCAAAGTGTTTCATTTCCTTCAATAAATAAATATATATATATATATGAAAGGAGAAATGAAATATATGTAATAAGATGATAAAGGCGTGTTAAGATCAATAATTGGTAGTCATTAACATATGAATGCCTTGTTTATTGAAGATATGGGTTCTGATTTTCATTTTTACAGCAGTTTATGAAATAAAATTACTTTATTATGGTTACATTAGAAGTACTTTAAAATTTTGGAATCCTAACTTTGTCTGAAAGAGTATATAAACGATGTAAAATTCATGAATTAGCCTCTGTAATTTCATTATATTACATCATGCAGTATTCTTTATACTATAGTGCCTAACAATTTTTGTGAGGTAGTCGAAATTGACCCAAAAACGATCGTATTGAATTTTGATGTCCAAAAATAGACAGATCGGACATAGACTTTATGTACTGACTACTTTTGTTTGGAATCAATTGTAATTATAGATTTATAATGAGACTGAAAAATGTTTTTTTTATACGATAAACAATAACTTTACCTGGCGTAGCCGCGCGTAAAATGTATTTCGGCATTTTTCGAACTTGTTTAATGGAATAAAACGTCTGATTTGTAAACCTTCACTTTTATCTCCGGAACAGGCTTTTAAAAAATAATTTATCTACTTTATATTTGGAAAATTTTGTGAAAATATAAAAAGTGGCAATTTTTACGTTTCATACCTTTAGTTTCATTGATAAAAAATAATATGGACTTGTCCAGTATCAAGTATGAGGTCATTTAAGTTACTGTACACATTCATGAACGTTCTGAATTAATTAAGAATAAACATGTATACAAAATAAACAGTTTGCAGGTAAACTAATAATGACAGATATTTTACGTTCATTTTTTTTGCAATAACAAATAATAATTTATGACAGTTGTTGTCCATTCGTTTGATGTGTTTTGTCATTTAATTTTGCCATGTGATTAGGGACTTTCCGATTGAATTTTCCTCAGAGTTCAGTATTTTTGTGATTTTACTTTTTGTCAACCAAAAGTTTTGCTATAATTTCAAAGACATGTCGTTCTGTATTGGTATAGATTTCGGATCTTTCATTTCAGTATTTAAGGCAATAGAAAATAAAAGTCTTCCTAATAATTGAATTTATACAGAAAATTCGCCCTTTTAAAACATTTATTGTTTCACAAATAATACATTGATACAAAGTAAAATCATTTCTTAAAAACATTGCAAAAAATTTCGTTCTGATTGGAACAGTGGTATTTAAATTTCGTAAAGTGGGTTCTAATGAACCGTGGTAAAGCAAACATCGAATTCCCTCACAAAATGTTATCGCATACTATAATGAGAAAATATTTGGTCGTGAAAAAGAACTTTTCTAACATATAGTCATTAAACAATTATGTTTGTTATATAATAATATATGTTCCTTTCCAAGCAATAATAATGAACAGTAATGCTACTCTTACATCTTGTCGATACTTATATTTCGGCACGTACAAGACCTTTATTTTTTTTCAGATTGCTTTTGACGTCTTACACTACATCCATTGGAGATGTGCTAATCGACAAGTTTGTCTGGATAAAGATAAATTGTTTTTTAGTTAAATCTGGTCTTTCAGAAACGGCGAGAGCTATGAGATCAGAATTTTGTGTTTAAGTCAAGCCCTGTCAAATTGATTTTTTCCCGGAAAAAAAAGATGTGGTATAATTGCCAATGAGACAACTCTCTACCAGAGACCAAATGATTTTTACAGTTTATTTTTATGTTGTGCTTATCCACTCCTGTATATGGATAGAAGAAGGCTTGCGTGCTCACAATCATGTCTATGTATGAATAAAAGGAATTATGTGATTGTCGTCCATTTTGTTTTCAATATTCTAATATAAATTAGGCCGTTGGTTTAACTTTTTAAATGATTCACCTTTTATCATTCCGGGCCCCTTTGTACTTTACTGAAGGTCGTGGGTTGTCATATCACTGTTCTTTGGTCTTTGTTAGACAGTTGGTCATGATACAAGTATAGTTGTGTTTAAACTTTGGCCGTCGGCGTGAATGTAAAAAGGACATACTTTCAATTCATGAAGTCTTGTTTTAAGGGGAAAAGTGTTACACTGCTCTGAGTTGCAGTTATTTCCTTCACACATATGGATATCATTACTTACGAAAAGTTGCATTAATGTAAAAACACATTCTGTAATATCATTTACCTGCATCTGTTAGTGCTCTGCATCCACACTTATTAACTATGAAATCTCGTTTGCACTCTAATAGACATGCTGTTTGACTATAGAAATGGTAGTGTTTTAATGTGTTAACAAAATCGGAAGATTTTGTATTTGTACAGTATTGATCGCCTCCAACTTTATACGGCGCAGGCAAATATTTAAACTGAAATAACATTAAATGTTTCAAACCATATGACTGGAATCATATGGTCAATAATAGTTAAAATGTGTATTGTCAAGTTGTCATAGTTCTTTTTCTTATATTTGAATTTAATGGTAAACGAAGGAAACTAGCAATAAATTTCAAGCATTAGAACACGTACCACAGAGGACATGCACTTTTTTAAGTTTTATTTTCATAGCGGGTACAATGCATCTGTATTATTATTGCAGTATTCATTGTTCGTTGAATGATATGGATTGCTAATGCAGCAAAACATACATACAAGATTGCATCATTAAAGATTGCATACTTTGGCTTTAATATTGATTCACTTATAGGGTCTTTATATCGGAATTAAACACATTTATTCTAAAACCAGTTGTTGGCATGACACGGGTTATGTTCTTCGCATATATTTTATGACGGTATAATACTAAACCCCTAACAGGAGGGATTGTGCCTGATATTCATATGATGAAGACATAATCTTTCAACCAGTTTAATTGAGGTCTGGAGCTGGCATGTCAGTAACTGCTAGTAGTCTGTTGTTATTTATGTATTATTGTCATTTTGTTTATTTTCTTTTGTTTCCTATTCTGACATCGGACTCGGACTTCTCTTATACTGAGTTTTACTGTGCGTACTGTGGTGCGTTGGTTTTTTCTACATTGGCTAGAGGTATAAGGGGAGGGTTGAGATCTCAAAAAACATGTTCAACCCCGCCGCATTTTTGCGCCTGTCCCAAGGGAGGCAACAAATACCAAAGGGGCATTCAAACTCATAAGTTGAAAATAAACGTCATGGCTAAAAAGAAAAAGACAAATAAACAACAGTATACAAAACAACATAGAAAAACTAGACTAAGTAACACGAACCCAAACACAAGCTGGGGGTGATCTCTGGTGCTCCGGATGAGTAAGCAGATCCTGCTCCACATGTGGCACCAATCGAGTTGCTCATGTAAGGACAAACCCAGTATATGTCTCATTCAGTAGGTCACATTCGGGGGAACGTAAGATTTACAACAGAGTTTTACTGGGAAAATCATATTGGACAGTTCTCTGGCTAAAATCAATACATGCAGTATAAAAAAAAATCATGCACAAATATATTTTAAGTTTAAATGACCGGAGTGGCAATGTATATTGCAAAATGAGAACCATTTAAATTGACAAAGATATGGGATACAAAAACAGCAAGATAGTGACCAACATACACTGATTAACCAAAAGCCGACGTCAAATTTATTACCTTACACACATATATGTGACGTTTATCTGATGTAATTTTTTGTAAAGATTATATCAGTATTGTTTTAAAAGGAGGCAGTAGTAGTTAAACGATGTTCTCTTTTCGAAAATCGATTAGGAAAAGACAAATCAAGGTTAACAAACACAAATGGATGGAATACAATTAACTCCAAAAAAATGCGAGACCGGGTGCGTTGACAGGGTAAGTTGTAAATAAGTGTACTTCAGTTTTTTATCTTTATTTATTTAACTACTAATGGCAAACAAATGTTGGAGGTCTTAGCAATTTGTAGATAATTTCCGGTAAATAA